GGAGCTCGGCGTTATTGAAGAAAACGAAAATGAAAAAATTTATTGAAAACATTATACTCACGGGCGGCTAAATTTGAGAAGCTGACTTGAAAATTTGAGATACATGCCATCGCTTAGAAGCGTGCAATCTATTGCGGGCATGCCAACAGTTGCGAAAATTCCATTCACTCCAACCAGACCATCCACTCCAAACATGCTATCAAATCCATGCATGGGTATTGTAACTTTCGAGTAAAATCAAAATGTAACTAATCAACTTTTGTTTTATGAACTGTCTAAAATAAATACGGTATAACCATGGATCGAACAACTAACTCGAATAAACATTTTAACGTTATAAAATTATTTTCTGAAGTTTTTCATACAAATTAATAAAACCCGATCAAATTAGAGACATTAAAATTTGAAAATATACTAGCTCTATCCAATTTTATTGAATTTAAATTAATTGTGGTTAAACTTATAAAAAAAAAACAACCAAATAATATAGGTATCGCATTTAAAAGAAATAAGTTTACAATGTTTTTTCTATACTATTTCAAAAGATAGTAAAACATTTTCATAATTAGTTGCTTTTAGTTACTGATTAATGTATTTTATTAATGATTGAATTAGTTAATTAGTTAATTCAATAGTTACAATGAATAAATTTACTTTCACATTTAAACTTACCCACTTTTGTCGAGGTTAGACGAATTTCATTTGCTCCGTGTTTTGCTCACAAATTCTTAAAAAAACTGATTTTTCCATGATTTTTTTGGATATTTTAGCTGCGTGTGTTGAGAGAAATTCACAGAGGTTATTCAAACTTTATCGAGGCTAGAAATATTGAATTAATTTTGATTTCTTTCTTTGTTTCTCCAATTAGTTCTTAAATTTTAATATATGGAAACTGATAGTTTAAAATTATCTTAATGTGTACATTCTGTAATTGTTGCTAGTCAATAATAGATGTACATTACTTTCTTGAGACGGCTTTAAAAAATCGTGCAGGTCTCCATATTGAGTACAGTTGAATGTTAAGTTGCTTGTTTATTTACAGACAGCACAATCTGTACGTTTTTGCTTGCCTGTACATTCTGTAAAGACGGTGTTGCAGGTGTTGCAGTTTGAGAAAAATTATTCAATTTTTTTTGTATTCTAACCGGTCATGTTTTTCCTTTTTTTTGTTGTTTACTCCTTAATACAAAATAAAAGAAATTAAAATCGTAATTTTAAGTCTTGTATATATTTGATGATTTTACTGTTTATATTTTTGTTTTTTTAACTTTTTTCGTGAAAAATAAAAAATGTAAATGGTCAACGTGTGTGCTATGAGCTGCCTAAAAGAAATACCCGATCGAACGACAAAATCGAATAAACATTTAACTTTTATTTGGTGATTTTAAATGGATGAAATGATGAATGGATGAATGAATAAATGAAGAATAAACGATTTCAGAAAAGATGAAAAAATTAAAAGAGAAAGATGTGACGCTGTCATGAAGTGAATGAATGAATAAATAAACGAACGAATAAATGAATTGATGTATTGATTGATGGATGAATAAATGGATGTATAAAAGAACTGATCAAGCGACGAATAAATATTGATAAATGAATGCAAGAATGAATGAAAAAATGGATGATTGATAAAATGATTGAATGAAAGAGCTAGCAAACGAACAAATGAATGAAATAAATGATTAATTGAATGGTGAATGAATGATTAGATTAATAGACTCACGAAAAATTTAATGAATGATTGAAAGAAAGAAAGAATGAATGAAGTAATGAACGAACAAATAAAAAGTAAAATAATTGACAAATATACAAACAAACAGAAACACAAAAAATACAAATGCATATACGATTGAGAGAAAATCAAAATAAAATAACTAAATGACGAAAGTGCTGGATAAATGAAATAATTGAATGAATGAATAAAATAAATGAATGACTCAATGGAAATAGAGAGATAGACTGACAGATCAATAAAAGAAATGAAAGAAAGAAAAAAACAATCGAACGGATGAATGGATGGATGGATGAATGGATTGGTTGATTAGGCTGGAGCATGTACAGGGGTTATGCAATTATTTAAATGTCTAACAAAAGACATTGATAATGATGATGATGCTGATCAAGTTCATGGTAATGATTATTATAAATAAAACAATAATGTTGATGATGATATTGAGTTGAGGAACACGATGATGGTGATGACGACAACGACGACGATGATGAAATGGTGATGTGATGATGATGACGTTGATGTTGGTGAATACTAGTGACATAGTATGAAATGGTGGTATGATGGTGACGACGATAACGTTGAAGTAGAAGATGATGAAGATGAGGTCGACATAGTGATAAAGATGGTACAAATAATGATAATATCGAATATTAATGATAGAAATGATAATATCGTTACCTTTAAAAATTTAAAACAATAAAAAATGTTTGCTTCAAAACGAATGGCAAAAGATCTGTAACAAGGTCGCTGGCTTATATAAATATAAAAACAACAACAGCGGACATAAATTGCAGAAAAAAAAAGTTAAATTAAATTGTAAAACAAATTTTTTTCCTATTCTTCACTTCAACATCCACAAAATGAAAAAAGTTAGAGAAAGTAAAAAAAAAATTTGAGAAAATTAGAAAAAATAAAAGTTAAAAAAGTGAGAGAGAGTAGTGACCAACCAACACGTGTCTTGGAACCGGCATAAATCTTTTTTCAATTTGCAGGCAGCACAATGGCAGCCTCAGTGAATTGTTGCAAATTTCAACTGGCCAGCCATCCATTGTATGGAGTGTCCTCTGTTATAATAACGCCCTACCTTACATGCAGGTCTTCAATCATCTGAAGCACCTACTTCAGGGTCACCATCTTCACCCAAGTAAGTCCTGTTCATGGTCGTCATCTTCAATAACAATAAATCATCATCACCACATCGTCAAGGTTTTTACCATTTTATCATTCTTTTTTTATCATCGTTTACCATCCTTTTCCTCTTCCGGGTTCACCGCCTCCTTATCATCGCCATCGTCATCATGATCATCATCATTGTTGCCGGGATGAAATTTATTATTGTGTCATCTCCAATTGTTTATTATTGATGGTTACTATAGTTAATCTTATTTAAAATTGAAGCAATCTCATCATCCATCGTCATATTTTTTCTACTAAAATAAATTTTTAATTGGAAATAAATTTTTTATCAAGTTTCATTGGAAAGAATATTTTTCAACAAAAATTACATTTTTCAAAATTTCAATTCATAGATAATATCAACTAAAATAATTGGTAATATTGCAAAAAAAATAAATAAAAATATAAATAGATAAACAAAGTAAAAACGAAAGATTGTGATAGTTTCATATAGCTATGGCAAAAGATGCTTATATTCTAAAATAAAAAAAACATTCTCCCCAACAGTAAAATCAGAATATCAACAAAATTAAAACTGCTAGAGAGTTACATTTTTCTTGTGCTCACTTACGGCTCTTAGTCCTGGACCATTTCTATAGAAATGGAAAAAAGATTAACGCTGCTGAGATGTGGTTTTTGAGAAGAATTATGAAATCTAGTTGAACCTTTCATACTTCGAATGAGGGTGTATTAAAACAGTTTTGTTATGAAAAGAGAAAATTACTACAGATAATCCGTCCGACGGGGGCAGTTAAAGTTTTTTGGTCACATCATGCGGAAGGAAAGAATGGAAAATCTAACAATTACTGGAAAGATTGCAGGGAGAAGAGATCGCGGTCATCAACAAATAACATTTTGGAAGTCCTTGTTTCACTTGTTGAATATGACCGCAATTCAACAACAACAAAGTGTTAAAGATTAGGTTTTTTGGAGGTCGATGGTCGCCAATGTTCTGAATGAAAAAGGCACGAGAAAGAAGAAAAAGGAATTATGGGCTATAGGTACGTATGCATATGCATGTAAAAAATGTTGTCACATATCAGCAGAGCAACAACAGCAACAATTAAAGAACAACAGTAACAACAAACTAGTAATAACTTCAATAGTAAAATAATAATAGTAACAATATAAATGATAA